ACCAACCACCACAACAACAGAACCAACAACCACAACTACAGAACCAACCACCATAACTACAGAACCAACAACCACAACAACAGAACCAACCACCACAACTACAGAACCAACTACCACAACTACAGAACCAACCACCACAACAACAGAACCAACCACCACAACTACAGAACCAACCACCACAACAACAGAGCCAACCACTACTACAACAGAGCCAACTACCACAACTACTGAGCCAACAACCACAACTACAGAACCAACAACGACTACAACAGAACCAACAACTACTACAACAGAGCCAACAACCACTACATTAGAACTAACCACCACTACAACAGAACCAACAACCACAACAACAGAACCAACCACTACAACTACAGAACCAACTACCACAACTACAGAACCAACTACAGAACCAACCACCACAACTACAGAGCCAACCACCACTACAACAGAACCAACAACCACAACAACAGAACCAACAACCACAACTACAGAACCAACAACCACAACTACAGAACCAACAACTACTACAACAGAACCAACCACCACAACAACAGAGCCGACCACCACAACAACAGAACCAACCACCACAACAACAGAACCAACAACCACAACAACAGAGCCAACCACTACAACTAAAGAACCAACCACCACCACAACAGAGCCAACCACTACAACTACAGAACCAACCACCACAACAACAGAACCAACCACCACCACTACAGAACCAACCACCACAACTACAGAGCCAACCACCACAACAACAGAACCAACAACAACAAGTACTACAACAACTTCTACAACTCCACCAACAACTACTACAACCCAAGGCACAACGACTACTTCAATTCCAACCACAGGTAAAATTATTTAGGTGTAAAAAGTTAGGTATTCTCAAAGATGAATGATGCACTGATGAACCATTTCAACTACAAACTAATCCTTTATCCCAAAACATAAGATACACTGTGTCTTGATCATTTAGCTTTGTCGTAAAATGGAAAAAAATAATTCAATAAATAAAAGAATTGCAAAAGCTCAGATTTAAGGACAGATGATACAAACAAATTTTTTGGTTGAAAAAGATTTAATATCATGTCACAAGTTTAGAAAAGTGGATAATTCTTAGAATATTTTCTCCTACGAACTGGAAAATGAAATAGACTAGGAAAATATTAGTAATATTTCAATAAAAAAATAAATATAGACAAATCACATTCAGTAAAGGTTTACTGGTGAAAATAAATTTCATAATATGTTACCTTGGTGCTTAATGTGTAGTATAAACTTTAGAAAAATATACCAATCCAGGTGAATTTTAAGAGGAGGAACAAAATGACAAAAAAATAGCAATGTCACATAGGCTGATTTTTACAATTTAGCTTTTCCTAATAAAATTCACCTGGCTTGGTATATTTTCCTTCAGTTTATATTACACTTTTAGCACCAAAATAACAAAATCTGAAATTTATTTTCACCTATAAACCTTTACTGAATGTGATTTGTCTATATTTGTTTTTTCATTGAAATATTACTAATATTTTCCAAGTGTTTTTCATATTACAGTTCTTAGGAGGATAAAATCTAAGAACCATTCACTTTTCTAAACTTGTGACATGACATTTAATCTTTTTCAAAGAAAAAATTTGTTTGTATCATCTGTCCTTAAAGTCATCATCAAAAATCTGAAGTACGTAATATACAATAATTTGATCTTATCTTTTACCTTTGATCTTTCAGAATATGTTTGACATTCATGAGATATCATTGCAGAACCTTTAAGAAAACAAATTTATCCTCTGGAACATGCAAGCTAAAATAGTCTCACCTTTATCTTTAATCCTTTAATGTAAATTATATAACAATGAGCTTTCTATAGGTCATGATAGGGCCATTGTTTTAAACAGGGATTTTCCCTTCTTGATATCTCATCCTATTAGGTAAAAATGGTCGCCCAACTCAAAACTTAGTTTAAACCTTGAAAAAATGATATATCTTAATGTAAGCAGAGGACATAAATATCCGAGACAGTAATTGGGAAATCTGCAGATAAAGTTAAAAGAAATTTTACCTGAACCGAGTTTTTAGCTCACCTGAGCTAATAGCATAAGTGAACTTTTCTGATCACCCTTTGTCCGTCTGTTTGTCTGTAAACTTTTCACATTTCCAACGTCTTCTCAAGAACCACTTGGCCAATTTCAACCAAACTTGGTACAAAGCATCCTTGTGGAAAGGGAAGTTAAAATTATTAAAATTATTCTTCATGTGGAGATAATCAAGATAAGACAAAAACGGGGCGAGTTAATTAAAAAATTCTTGTTTTCAAGAACCAGTGGGCCAGAAAGCTGAGAAATATATGGAAACAACCTGGAATAGTGTAGATTCTAAATTGATAAAATGACCCCCGGGGTGGGACGGGGCCACCATATGAAATACACGTTTTGATTCATGATATTGATCAGTGGGTTGAAATCAGGGTATTGATCAGTGACTTGATAAATTGATAAAAGCCATGGTATTGATCTGTGGATTGGAGTCGAGATATTGATCAGTGGATTGGAGTCAGGGTATTGGTTGTTATTCCTAAAAGTTTTCTTCATTTAGGGCCTAATAATGTTTATCAAAATTATAATTTATCAATCTTAAATTTTTATGCTCCTCCTTCAAAGAAGGGAGGGCATATTTTTTTGCTATTATCTGTCGGTTGGTCGGATCGCGGTTTGTCTGTCAGTCCACCAAGTTTCCGTTCGCTTTCTAACAACCGTTCCACATATATACTGAAATAAAATTTAGCGTGCATATTTATCAAAAAAAAAAAAATATTGAGGTCAAGTTATGTTTCAGGTGCGATCCAGTAATATGGGACAGAGTTATGCCCCTTAGACTTAGAAAAATTACAATTATTCGGGGGGGGGGGGGGGCATAAGTATTTTACAAACATCACTTGTTATTGAAACGTTACTTAACATTCTGTCTTAAGGTCAAGATATAGTAAATATCTTGAGAGTAACCTTTTGGTGCAAGATCCGGGCTGTGACGTCATAATCACTTTCAACTTTCTTTTTCTCTTACTCCATTACGACTCTAATAGATATATGTAGTAAATAAAGTGTTTTCATGGAATTTAATTTACAACCACATGAAAAGTTGTCCCAATACCTATATTTAATTTGACATTATTTTAAAGGAGATGCCAATAACATACAAAATGCCGTTTTCTGAAAGACAGTAGGCAATCTGGATACATTTTCTTTGTTTGATATGGAAAAAAACGTCATATCCATGGCTGGTATTCTAAATTTTTGAACGGAAATTATAGTTTAAAATATGATTTTTCATCTTGTTTACCTACAAATGATACCCTGAAACAGCTAAAGTTATGAAGCAACATTAAAGAAATTTATTCCTTAAATTTGATATTTCTATAATCACCTTTCATTTATTAGATCTTGACCTTAATGAATATCTTTTCAGTGAATTGCGGATTTGAAACGACTGAGGATTGTTTCTTCGAAAACAGCCAACCTTCACAGCGTCGCAAGAGAACAACACAGGAAATTTTGCTCGCCGATAATTTTGACTGGATATTTGGAAAATCAGTGAGTAAATTTCATACCTCATAGCATACATTAATTTAATGTTTGAAGAAAAATTATTATAACAATTGCAAAATAAGCTTAAAAGGAGAATATATGAATTGATCCGCCGAAATACGGCTAAAATATTGCCAACTCGGCGTTAAACAGTTTAATAAATCAAGCAAGCAATTAAGCATTGATTGATATTTTTAACGTTCATTAGACCAATGTGTGTTGCACACATAAGTATGTTTTCATTAAGGCAAGAAGACACATTTAATACCGCATTACTATTAAATGGCTATTTAAATGGCCATTTTTAAGGCAAACATTTTGTGATTTCCATTCAACAAAACGTTCACTTTGGGCTCGTTTTTGCGGAACTTAAAGCATTAAAAATATATTACCGTACTTAGAACTATTTTGATTGTAGAAATTGCAAAATTGATACCCTTGCAAACATTTAAACAGGGTCCAACACCCTCCTCCAGAACGGGTCCTAGTAGCGCTATAGAAGGTGTCAGATATGCCTACATAGAGGCATCAAGTCCACGAGCATCTGGTGAAAGGGCAGTAATTCGAACAACCAACACATTCAGAGGTGAATTTAAAATTTTGTTTATAATATCAACATTCTTAAATGAGACTGTTTATATCCTATTGCATTTTTTCTTACAAAGGACAAGGTATGGTTACGACCGAATCTGGCCTTTTATTTGATGTAAAAATCAATGCACTTTAGCTTGTACTGTTAATACCATGAAAGTTTGTAGTATGAACTTAAAATGATGATTGTTTTATAACCACCACTAATTTTGATTCAAAGCTTACATGGAGGAAACAAGAGGGTGCGGAAGTCCGACGTTTTAACCGAGTTTCCTTTTTATTGTGGAATTTTGTCATATTTCGGATATATTTCTCTTCGAAAAACATAGCTACAGAACTGTAGCTCTCCAAAAAAAAAAAATATATATTGACATACCGGAAAGCTTCAGTGTCATCACTTGAAAAAAAAACTGTATACATGTATTTATTGCGAACAAAAATGCGCTGTTTCTCGATTTATTTTTTCCATGTTGTTAAAATTGTCATCTCGAAACATTGCTAATTGTGTATCCTTACACAATCTTAAAAATTGTTTTTTAATAGCTTTAAAACCCTATTAGTGAGTTCATAAAAAAAAATTCGCCTATTTATACTGCCATTTTGGTTAGTAAGATAATGCGGTGTTACAGCACGAAATGTAATAACAACGCAAAATGTAATAAACTGGCATTATTATATTTTGCGTTATTACATTTTGCGTCGATTTCAATTTTACTAATTGATACCCCCAAAGTGCATGTTTTGCTCTGAGAAACCCGCAATAAGTGTCAGATCAGAAACTGAAATAGGAGGTGCACAATGTCATTAAGTAATTCTTAGCAACAGTGCTAACCTCGGCGCTCCTCTGTAGCACAAGAGAATGCACAGTGGAAACCTCAGTGCAACTCAGGACTACCTCAGATTTCTCAGTAGTAGCCTCAGTACCACTTAGGGTTTTCTCAGTACAACACAGTACTTCCTCTGGGTTTTGTTGGATCCTTAAGTTTTTAACTCAGCTGAGCCGAAGGCTCAAGTGAGCTTTCCTGACCAAAATTTGCCCGTTGTCTGTCGTCGTTTTGTCGTTGTAAACTTTTCACATGTTCATCTTCTTCTCAAGAACCACTTGACTAATTTTCAACCAAACTTGCAACAAAGTATCCTTGGGTGAAGGGGATTAAAGTTTGTTCAAATGAAGGACCAAGCCTTCTTCCAAGGAGAGATAATTATGAATTAGCAAAAAATTAATGGTATCTTTTAAAAATCGTCTCCTCAAGAACCACTAGGCCACTAGGCCAGGAAAAAGGAAACTCATTTAGAAATATCCTCTGGTAGTGCAAATTCAAGTTTGTGCGCGTAATGACCCCCGGGGATAGGGCGGGGCCACAATGGCTGACCGAAGTTCAACATAAAAATGTATATAGGAAAAATCTACTTCTAAAGAACATCAAACCATAATTGGTGATATTTATATTGAAGCATCCTAAGGTTGTGTGGATTCAAGTTTGTTTGAAACATGACCCCCGGGGTAGGTTGGGGCCACAATAGATGATCAAAGTTTTATATAGGAATATACAGGAAAAATTTTCTTCTCCAGAACCACTGGGCAATGAAAGAAAAATATGTACTTAGATCATTGGCATAATACCTAGGAGCAAAGGAAAATATTTTCAAAGAATTCATGAATTTTTACTATTTAAACATTAGAGCACCGCCCTAACACAAGAAGGCTTGACCCAGGGGCCCTGAAATTCACAAATCTCAGAGGCATTCTTCCTCTTCATCACTATTTACTTTCATTGGTTTTAATACCCAGGCACAGAAAAGTTTTTCAAAGAAATAATTCACGATACAATCTTTATAGCCCCGCGCTAGGACTAGAAACTCTAAACCCTTGTGCCATGAAATCACAATTTTGGAACAGGCAGCCATATTCAACATACATGTAAATATGCACTTGGTTAGTTTATTTAATATCCATGAGCAGAAGAATTTCAAAGAATTTATGCATTTTCACTATATAATCTACCCCAGGGGACAGGGACCATGAAATTCACATTTTTCGTTCCCCTTCACACATAGATGCTATATGCCAAAATTGCTTGAAATTAGTTTAGTGGTTTCAGAGAAGAAGCTGAAATTGTTCAAATGATAACGCACGACGGACGACGACGGACAAAACGGACAGCAATAGGTGACTTAACGTAGAACCTACGTCGTATGACATCATCACTAGTGAATGTGTTAGCCTATGCTAAATCCATTATGACGTCATAATTTATTCAATGTCACTTTTCCCGTACTTTACAGCTTCAATAGAAATGGTAGAAAATGATGCATTTCGATATAGACCGTTTCACGGTAACTGCGGTACTGCTCTTTTGCAGGGCAAAATGATATAGTTTGGTGAAATATGACGTAAAAGTAATTGTTAATGATACGTCATTTAATTATCTGTCAACAAAAACTTCGCCAAATGTTATTATTTTGCCCTGCAAAAGAGTAGTACCGCAGTTACCGTGAAATGTAATTCACAGAATTCAATTTTAAAATCATGCCAAAATAATCTTAATTCAATTTATATGATTTTTGGGCTTATTTCCTTAAAGCTGACATGAATTCTTAAAAACGCAACATTTTCATCTATGTACGACTTGTTTCATACCAACTATAGCCGTATTCCACCATATTCTTTCAGATACATTGTCTCATTGTAACGATATATACCCCAATGCGCTAGTTACACTTGAATGGTTTTTTGGCTTGGGTATCGACTTGTGCACATCTCCGATGGTAAAGCATATATAAGAACACATGAGGTGATCAAGACATTTCAAAACCAAAATAAACAACATAATAAGCATATTTCTGAATGATTATTGATTTGAATCAAAGAAAAAAATGCAAGTTTGGAAGAGAAATTTAGATGCATGAGTACGTATTTTTACAGTGCGCCAATTTATGCAGAATAAAATTGAAAGAAAAAGCAGTATAATTCGCAAACACTTTTTTGAAATTATTATCATATGAATGGAACAAAACAACCAACGTCTTTGATTTGCAGGTCCTTTGCAATTGATGCATATCGAGAAAACGCGTCGAACGCTGTAAACGTACCCATACCTGGTAATAAGGTTTCTGCATCGGTTCGAAGATGTGCACAAGTCAAGTGATATACATGTACACCCTGAATTCCATTTATTGAAATATGCATCACAAAAAAGAAATAAACTCCATAAAAAGCTCAATAGTAAACACACTGTCATTTCTCCGTACAGACTAGCACTTCAAAACACTTAGTCCGTGCTGATCAGATTTTGGTCAGGGAAAATATCACAAGTGGAAAGAGAAGTTATTTGGTATTTGCGCGGCTGAAAGACGGGGGGGGGGGTATCTAAAGTATATTAATAACTGCTTCATAACGTGTAACTGAAAATTGTCTCTCAATAGTTGTAATAAACATTCTATATAGTCTGCAGTTGTTTTGCATCGCAAAATTCCTTTTTCAGTTATAACTGATTACTTTAGTACTAATCTCAAATCTAAACCGAGTAGTTTGATATACGGTAATTATTTATTTCAAGAAATAAAGGCATTTAACCATAATACAAAATTTCATTTGTACATCTGTAGGTTCTTTAACACACAGAAAGAAAGACCATCCCCTGTTTACATTGACATTTAGGCATTATGTATTTTAAAGGGGGGGGGGGGGGGTAATTGACATGACCGTTACCTAAACATTCATGGAAGACATACATTTCTGCTAAATCCATTTTGGAGATGTTTTACTGTCTCACTCCGACCACAAAGTAAGTACATTTTGAGGTATGTGACTGTTTTATAATTATGTAGTACAGAAAGTGTTTCATTTCGAGATTTCATTATCCCTGTCTGACGGTCTAGCTTTTTCCAAAATAAAAATAATTCCTGTAGGAATATTTGGGAGATAAATTTTAAAAACTAGGGTAGGGATACTTGAAAGCTGGTTCAATACGGATAATTTTTATTTAGTTTTTTATTTATTGAACCATTAAAATCTCTCTCTCTCTCCTGCAACCATTCGTTAGCGCAAAATTAGGTTTAAAATTCTACGCACTTTGTGCTCTACCATTTATTAACCCTAACGACATATCAAGGATTTTTTTTCAGGCAGGGAGGTGGATTGTCAAAACTTGTTCACATTCAATTATAGAGGCGGATCCAGCCAGTTTAGAAAAGCGGGGGTGGGGTGTTTCAGGTCGGTGCCCCCACCACTCATTAGCATAGAATTAAACCACGGTCACTTCAAGTCCTTATTACTTTATGAGAAAGGGGGCCTCCAAAAGCAGTTGAAAAGCAAAAAAGAAATAAATCAAAACCAAAACCAAAAAAAAAATAAAGCAACAACAACACCAACAAAACCTGTTTACCACCCTTAAAATCCTTTTTGGGAAGGGACAGATCGGAGGGGGGGGGGTTCTGTAACCTTTCTGTTCGGTACATTAATGCATATTTTCCGGTAACAAAAAATGTGAAGAGAGCTTTCAAATCAGAATATTATTTAAAACTGCAGCAAAAGCTAGATTATCCTCAGAAAAAGTGAGCCCCCAGGCCTCCATCTGCATACTATGGGAGCATTTTAAACATTTCTCGATTTAAAATATTTTATGCATATTTCTACAAGTTCATCACTTCTGGAGAAGGTCCTAAAATGGTATAGCTAAAGTTCGCTGGAATCTTCCTTGCATATTACTTGTGGGTATCCAGAGTCCTTAGGCGGGGTTGTGAAGGTACACAGAGGAAAGTAAATCTGCATACATCTACAGATCTATCGAGCAGAAAGGACAGAATTTTTTTATTACTTCAAATTATTCGACGCATAAATATCTATATTACAGAAAAAAATTCTATCTGTGTGTGTACGAAAATAAAGGGGGGTTCCAACTTCCCAGAACTTGTCCCATCTGGATCCACTAATTAATTCTATTTGGATCATTCATGTACCACAGAATCAAACTCGTTTATTGTGTAAAAAATTATAAATAACTTTAAATCAAGTTGTATTAGGTCTATATTTTAAAAAATAAAGCCAGTACACAGTATGTATTTGAAAATAATTGATCGTAATGATTATCCGATCCTTTTCAGATGTTTGTTTAATTTATTTATTTGAGGAGACTGTTATGCATTTTCACCACCCCCCTTTCCCTTCACAAGAAAAATCTCGTCAAAAGATAAAAGATTTGTAATGATGCATGCTATAAAATAGATTTGATGTAGTTAAGCTGTTTATAAATTTTGACTTA